CAAACTGTGGGCAGGGAAACCAGGGGCTGCCTGGCTACTGGAGAAACACAGGGTGGGCTCAGTTCTCACTGGAGTAGGTCAACGCCGACGACGGGGCGTCCTCCCAGACGTGGCTCACCAGCCTCGACCTCCTTCTGGACCCAGAGCTGTACTCTAGCCTGCCGGCTGCCCTGCCTCCTGGTGACCTTGGATCATCTCCTGCCCCTCTCTCTGTCCTGGTATTCCCTCTTCTGACCCAGGCTAGACATTAGGCTCTTCTTCGGAAAGCACCCTGAGGTGCTTGTCTCTCGGCAGGCTGGCCCTTGATAACCAGCAACTCCTGGGAGAGCCTGGGTTTGGCCTGGTCCTGCCTGGGAGAGCCCCACAATCTTCTCATTCCTCCTCTCAGCCCTTCTTCCCGATGTCAGAAGGACCTTGACTCCTGCCTCTCGTCGTCAGATTTCCCAAAAACTTTGGGTGGGGGACAGGAGAGGTGAATGTGGAGAAGTCAGAGTCTTGGCCTCTGCTGAGCCTTCTTGGCATATCTCCTCTGCCCTGAGTCTCAGCATCCTCTTCAGTCAAAGGGTCTGATGCTCTCTGGCAGGAGCTTGGGAAGCTCCAAGGAGAGCGGAAGCAGGTATAAACGGGTGTTCTACTCTCAAGGAGAGCTGGGTGGCCCTGTGGCTGCTATTATCAGAATGGCATGGTGCCAACTGGGAAAGGGTAGAAGGTGGGGCCAGGCTGAAGTGCCCCTTGCTCTAAGTAGTCCTTGGTCTAGGGAAGAGGACATGGAAGTAGAAGTGCTGGGAAGACTACTTTTTCTTGGTTGTCATCAGTATTTTCCTTCCTCCTCTCTGCATTTTGGGACTCCTGGACAACTGCTCCCAGCACTGCCTTCCTCCTCAGAAGCCCCCCCCCATTCTAGGGTCCCATAGCCTCTTTCACTTTGCCCTATCTGAGGGCCCCCTTGTAACCTCGGGCCCCTGTTGGGTGTCGAGGAGCCAATTTTTTTACAGACTGCTGGGCACCATGAGCAGGCACACACATGAACCTGGAACACACCAGCCACTGCCCCCGCCATGACAATGACACAGCCATGGACACACCCCTGCCCAGATACACAGTCACTCACTGGGAGCTTGTGGAGATCAACACACACCCAGATACCACATCAGTCCCAGGGTGCCCACACCCACATGTGGGACCTGTCAGAGGACCTGCTAAGCCATCTGGACATGGCCAACCCCAGCCTAGGCACCCACTGTGCTCCTGGGAGGGTAGCTCTGGGCCCCAGCAGGTGGGTCATCCCAAAATTTGGCCTCTAGCTCCCCAAGCAGGATTTCAGAGCTCCCACAGTGCAGCCAGAGTAGGTGTGGAAAGGTACTTGGCAGGCTGTGGCATGCCAGGGTTGTGTGACCCCTTCTCCCCATGAATGGTCATAGGGCCATGATTTATTAGCACTTCTAGGAGTCACCTATAACCTACACTATCTGGACTGGCTCCTTTGCTCCTGCCTACCTCTTCCTATCTCATACTGGCACTGTTTGCCCATGCTGTCATCTCTACCTCAAATGCCTTCCCCCAACTCCTTCCTGACAGACCTGGACTCCCCAATGATACCCTCCTGCACTTTATGACTTCGTGTTATGATTACTCTTAGTGCTGCCTTCCCTGGCTAGTCTTGCTCTCCTTGAGGACAAGGCCATGGTTTTATTACCTCCGTGTTCTGAGGCTCAGCCAGGGACTAGACCCAGAACTGAGGCCTGGAGATGTAATTCGTCAGGAGTGAGGGAGGACCAGCAGTCTCTTCCTTGGGAAGCAGAGCCAGTCCCTGCCCCACTCCCAAGAAGGAAGCCCCAAGATCACTGTGCTGGGTGGACTTCTCCTAGAAGGAAGCTGCTACTCAGATTTTAGCTGGCTCAGTTCCCCCAACCCCAGCCATCCAAGAATGTAGTGTTGCTGAACTTCTCAGTGTCTGGGCTAGTGAGACCCCTTATTGCGGGGAGGGGAAATAAGCCCTGGAATAAGGATCTGGAATGTGGGTTAAGTATCCTGCTCTTCAGTGGGAGCTCATATATATGGGAAGTGAGACTTGAGAGTGCCTTCAGAGGCCACTGTCTACCCAAAAACAGGGGGTGAGGAACAGAGGCCAGGACAGGAGTCTTTTTTTTTTTGGGTTGGGGGTCTCACTCTGTCTCCCAGGCTGGAGTGCAATGGCAATGCCCATGGCTCACCACAGCCTTGACATCCTGGACTTAATCGATCCTTCTGCCTCAGCCTCCTGAGTAGCTAGGACTATAGATGTGTGCCACCACGCCTGGCCAAGTTTTTTATTTTTTTGTAGAGATGAGATCTCACTATGTTGCCCAGACTAGTCTTGAACTCCTGGGCTCAAATAATCCTCCTACCTTGACCTTCCAAAGTCCTGGGATTATAGGTATGAGCCACTGTGCACAGCCAAGAGTCTGCCTTGTATGGATAGAAGATTGCTTCAGCCTCTAAGTTCTGAGTAGTGGAGACCCAAGTCCCTTTGATAGACACTCCTATCCATGTAGAGGTAGCATGTAACTGCAGACATCCTACCCATAATCTTGGGGCCTCTCAGGAGAACCTCCCACAGATCCATCCTCTGGCTGGACTAGGACTAGTGCCATTTAGTCCACCCACCTCGGCCAGGAGAGCACAAATGTGAGGCTATTTTGCACTAGATCCTGCCAGTGTGGGAGACACTAGAAATACCTAAAGGGAATGATTGGTTGATACAAAATAGAGATTATTTACTGTTTAATAAATGCAGGGGAGTACAGGAGAATTTTTCAAAAGAGGGCCCACACATGGGGGAAACAGCCAGGGAGGCTTTTGTGATGACAAGTGGTGTACAAGACACTGGGCTAATTGAGGCTGAGGCTGATAGTAAGAGGTCATGAAGCTAGTATGGAGCATAGGGGATCTCAGGAAATGGAGGAAGCATGGGGCTTCCACTCACTCACCAAGCACTCCCTTTTAGACCCTGTCCTTTGCTGGCTGTGGAGTGGATCGGGCAGCGGCCCCTGCAGGCTCAGTCCCTGGAGCTGCCCAGGCCAGTCATGCAGCCCTTGCCTGCTGGAGCCTTCCTGGGTGAGGCAGCAGAGGATACCCCAGCCCAGCCAGAGAATGAACCAAAGGTGCTGGACCCTGAGGAGGATCTGCTGTGCATAGCCAAGACTTTCTCCTACCTTCGGGAATCTGGTGAGTCTGATGGGGGGCAGGCCTTATCCTGGGAAGTGTGATAGAGGAAGCTTAGCTCGGCCTGTTGAGTCTGATTTGGGAGATATGACCCTGCCCAGGAGTCTGATGGGAGAGGTACCATCCTCTCCAAGTGTGAAGGAGGGGGCATAACCCTGACCTGCCGTGGGTTGATGTCCCCAGCTGATTTCCACTGTGACCAGTCCCTCTTCACTTGCCTAGGCTGGTATTGGGGTTCCATTACAGCCAGCGAGGCTCGGCAGCACCTGCAGAAGATGCCAGAGGGCACATTCCTAGTACGTGACAGCACCCACCCCAGCTACCTATTCACGCTGTCAGTCAAAACCACCCGTGGCCCCACCAATGTGCGCATCGAGTACGCTGACTCCAGCTTCCGCCTGGACTCCAACTGCTTGTCCAGGCCACGCATCCTGGCCTTCCCAGATGTGGTCAGCCTCGTGCAGCATTACGTGGCTTCCTGCACTGCTGACACCCGAAGTGACATCCCTGATCCCGCTCCTACCCCAGCCTTGCCTGTCCCCAAGGAAGATGCACCGAGTGACCCAGCACTGCCTGCTTCTGCGGCCACTGCTGTGCACCTAAAACTGGTGCAGCCCTTTGTGCGCAGAAGCAGTGCCCGCAGCCTGCAGCACTTGTGCCGCCTTGTCATCAACCGCCTGGTGGCTGATGTGGACTGCCTGCCACTGCCCCGGCGCATGGCCGACTACCTCCGACAGTACCCCTTCCAGCTCTGACTGGACCGGGCAACCTGCCTAGTTTCACCCAGCCATACTCTGGAAAGGACACTGGCCCCAGCTGGACTTGGGCTCCCACTGTCCCTCCTCCAGTCATCCTGGTGCCTGCATGAATCTGGCAGCTGGACCAGAAAGAGCCAGCAAGAACAAGGCATGAGGGGTGTCACACAACTTGGAGGTGAGCACCCCTAGACCCTATGTGGCTCCATTGTAGTGAGCCATGTGTCAGTGTCAGAGAGAGGGAGACAGGCGGGACCTCGTCTCACCCTGTGGGCTGGGCCTGTTACCTGCCCTGGCCACCTGAACTGTGTAGATACTCTCAGCCCTGGTTTCTCATTCCCAGGGTGGGGCAGGGCCCCTGACTCCAGCCAGCCTCTTTCCGGGAGGATGGCAGCCAGAGAACTGAGGTTGACAGTGACAATCCCCTTGTTGGGGGTCAGGCCAGGCTGGGGGAATGCACAGTTACACAGTATTTATTTATTTATTCTCCTTGGGGTTGGTCTCAAGGGTGAGCCAACCCCGCCTCTCTGCCCTAAACCCTGGGTAGTCCAAAGACCCCTACTCTGCCCCAGCTTCTCTGGTTCTTCCATGTGGAGAGCCCCATCCTGAGACATGTAGCTGGACCCAAGGGAATCATGAACATCCTGGCGCTGGCCCACCCACCTGTGAATGTGTCTGCTGTCTTCTGTCCCAGCCCTGCTTTGGGAGGGTGGGCAAAAAGACAAGAAAATGCAGCCAGAGCCTCAGTCCCCAGCAGAGCCTTCACTCACACCCTCGCAGGGCAGAGCTGTGTCTGCACAGAGCTGGTCTCGCTGGCGCAGGTCCTGTGTGAGCAAGCCCCATGTGAGCAAGTGTGCTGTGTCAGGAAAGGGGTACTGGTTTGAGGACTGCTGTTGCAGCTCCACCGGGTTTGCTCTTTGCCTTGTAAGGTGCCTGCATGTGAAAGAGGGAGAGAAATACATATCTGATAAGACTTTATAAAATAATTATTATAACAAAACAGTTTGGTAGTTTTTCCACTGATTTTTCTGTAATGACAATAAACTTATACCTTTCACTTATGGAGCCCAAAATGGGGTCTCTTTTGAGTGCTGTACATGATTTGTCCCCTTCCATCTTGTTATCATTAACCCCATTTTACACTGTGCTAGCTGAGAGTCCCTGCTGGGGGACTTTTGGAGGAGACAGGATCGGCCTTTCTCCTCATCTTCCCTGGTTCCCCCTGGAGGAAGTGAAGACCTGTTAGACTGCCTGCAGGGTCACTGTCCTGGCCATTGAGGGGGCGAGGGGGTTAGAGATGCACCAGCCCTGAGAGATGTGTAAACAGGAAATGCCTCAAAACTAAATGTGGAGAATGTCAGAGGGAAGGGTGCTATAGGTCCATTTTGTATTTTGAGATGAGGAAGCCAATAGAGAAGTCAGAGTTGGTCCTTCTGGGAAGAAGGTACAGTGAGTGCAAAGGCACTGAAGCATGACCAGGGAAGCTCACATTTCTGACAGGAGGCCTAGGGAGGGTTCATTCTGTTCCATGGGGTAGGGCAATTGAATCAAGGATAGTGACCAGTGAGCTGGCAGGGTCTGACCTGGAGTGGGGGTATCCCGGTTATGGCCCAGGCTGGTTGGGGTTGGGGAACGCTATCTTCTCATTCAGGGTCCTGCACGCCATAAGTGAGTAGAAGAACAATTAAAATGAAAACAGCTTCTGTTATTTGATGATCTGAATTTGGAGAACTTAGGCTGCTAGGATCTCACTACATCCCAAAATTCTCTGCAATTTTACTTGAGTAACTCACAGGAAAGGGCCTCTAAACCTTTCTCACAGCCTTTTAACCCTTAATTTTGGAAACATTCTAACCTTCCTATTTTCTTAGCCCTCAAACAATTAGAAGTTTCCATTAGAAGAGGCAAATACTGGTGGACTGAGAGCAGGAAGGGTGAAAAGTGACATGTTGATGACAAGGAAGAGGCAGGAAAGAAAAATCAGCAGGCCCTTGGGACATGGAGATGGTTGTGGCAAAGAACAGACATGCCATTGGGTGAGAGTGAGCAAGAGATGGGTGAGGGAGGAAGGGCCGTCTTCACTGGGTGTGGTGCCCAGATCCAGATGGCCAGCCTGGCGCCTTCTCGTTGCTGGCGGTGGCTTGGGCTCTTGGCTGGCTATGGAGCCAGACGGCACGCCTCCTCCAGGTCACCATGGCCCTGCCAGGGGTGTCTGTAGTTCCTCATTCCTTCAGCCTGGCTCTCAGCCCTTCTGTGGCTCCCAAAATGCCTGAGGTGACCCCTCTGTGTGTTCCACCCCTAGTCCTAGTGGACTAGTAGTAGACACAGAAGGGCAAGAGGCAGACTGTCCCCACTTGGTGCTGCGGCCTGGACAGAATGCCACTGTGGCAAGAGGAAGCACAGAAAATGTCATTGTCCACAGAGTGGGTATGTCTCAAAGTGTCTGCCCAGTGCTAGACATGGGAGAGGGCTTTGTACCTCATGCAGCACTCACCACAACCCTGGGAGTGGGATCTGAATATTACCCACACTCCATAGATAAGGAAACCGAGGCTCAGAGGGGGTAAGGGCCTGAAGGAGACCACACAACAAGTGGGGCATGGAGCAGAGCTAACTCTGAGGGGTCCTGACTGCCCATTTGCCCCCTAAATGGCTACATGAGATGGAGAGGATAGGTGCTGGATAGCAGCTTCTTGGACACTGGGTTCTAGCCCCCATATCCCTGCCTGCCGAGAGCTCTGGAGTCACTGGCCTGGCCAACAGGGTCCTGTCCCCTTCTTTGCCTCAGCTCAAGCCAGGGTCCAGCTCCTGCCTGGAGAGGGGCTGTCAACTACTTCTGACTCCCAGCATTGTTCTGGTTCAGTCTTTTCACGTTTCCCTACCAAGGTAGTGAGTGATGCCTGCCTAGAACATGACAGTATAGGACATCTCACTGGACCCCACCCCAAGTCAAAGATTCAGCCTAACAAACGCTGAAAATCCTCTAGTCAACCCAGTCAGCCTTAGGTGGTCTGAGCTAGTAAAAGGGCACACCCAGCTGACACTAGCAGGGGAGAAAGAGATGAGCCGTCTGGTAGGTACATGGGACCCTGTACACATACAAACAATATCTGAGCTAACCCCTTACTGATTAAGCCCTTCACCAGCACACGTGCTCCTCGGGCACCAACTGGGCCAGACTCCATCTAGACCCTGGGGACACAGCAGGGAAAAAGACAAACATGGTCCCCATCCTCACGGGGCTCATGGGCTAGTGGGAGAGAGATGGTAAACAAGTGAACAAATGGGCACACAAGACAAGTGTTGAGAGTGTAAAGAAGTTTTGAGAGTGTAAAGAAAACCGGGGTCAGGCAGAGAGTAGCTTTGTGCACAGGGACACATCCACAGTTAGGAGGCTCAGGGAAAGCTCTGGAACAGGGTGGCATTGAAGCTGGAGACCCAAGCAAAGAGCAGGAGCTGGCCAGGGACACAACTTGGGGAAGAGATGTCCCAGGTGAAAGGAACCACGAGGCACTTGTCCCAAGGCAGAAACAAGTCTGAAGTTCAGAATGGCTGCCCAGGACGAGTGGGAAGGGCAGAGGGGGCATATGAATTTTATTCTAGTATAGTGAACACCACAGAGTGCAGCAGGGGAGTACTGTGATCTGATGCTCATTTCTAAGGTATGTACCTATACTCATGAAGGCCTAGAGGCAGGAGGCCAGAAAGAAGGGTAAGAGTATGGGTTTTGGAGGGGAGGTATGTGGCAGGGGGCAGGAGAAGGAGAGGGCAACAACTTTGCAACACTGGGCAGGGTTTGGGCCCCATTGAGTTCTCACTGCTGCCCTGCACACCAACAGAGGTAGTCCCCATTTACAGCTGAAGAGGTAAGGCTCAGAGAGGTGTGGTGCAAGACAGAGCCTGGTTTCAAACTTCAGACCTTGTTTGCATAACCACGGCTCTGTACTGCCTCCAAGGAGCTGGCTTGTTAAAGCCTTGGCACCCACAGGTTCAGGGGACATATAGAAGGATGGGTGTATTTAGGAGGGCTTTCTGGAGTAGAGGGTTAGGGATGGGCCATGGTGGATTCCACCTCTGGGTAGGAGGTGAGTTCAGAGATTGATCCTGTGTGGTTTCCCTCCCTGGACTCACACAGCTCCCTCTGGAACAACTTTGGGAGAGATGCCACTAAGTCATCTTAAGGTTTAACTGGCCAATCACCATGACCCAACATCCTCTGGATCAGGGCTTTGCCTTGAGGGGCATTTGCTGGACACCACTCCCCCTGCAGCCACACCATCAGGGAATCACCGATGCCAGTGTACACATCTCACTAGTCTCTGCACCCAGGCTGGGCTTTTAATCTGCCAACTGAGCAAAGCTTTCCTGGCCAAGGCTGGACACGTGTGCATGGGGCTGGAGGCATGGCTGGGCCAGCTCCACTTTCACAGGGGAGCCTTCCCACCCCACACAGCTTCCCACAATACTGTGGAGGGGTGAAGGGCCAGGGACCTGAAACAAGGCAGACCAAGAAGGCAAGAAGATTCAGGGTGTGCGTACTCACAAAGAGCCCTCACAAAGGCCCTTTTCCTCCAGGAGAAGTGGAACCTGTGCAGGTCTGGGCAGCTTTTGACACCAACCTGTTAGATAAGTTTTAATATAAAGTAAGTTTGAGCTTTACCAGAAATTCAACAGCCTCTCATGGTGAATGTGTCCTTCCCACCCCTCCCTGGTTCGGGTGGACAGCATAGTCAGCTACCCAGGGCAATACTCCAAGGGTCACTCTGGGGCAACAGGCTGGGCTCTAGTGTCCGATACTCAAGATAAAGGGGGTCCCTGGAGGTTTAATTCTGGCCAGAATGCAGACCACATGGTGACTGGGGAGTGGCTGGGCCTGGCTTTGGAGGAATGTGGGCAAATGGAAGCTGATACTCATCTTTGAGCAGGAGGAGAGGCAGCAGCTCTGGGGCAGGAGGAGGCTTTTTGGTGTGGCCACAGTTTTCTGTTCAGTAGAAAGACAGTGGCTTCCATGACCCAGGCCTGGTTGAAGAAGGCACAGCCAAGTGCAGGAGGTGGCTTCTGAGGGTGGAGGGAACTCAGGACTGCCACGGCTCCTCCAGGTCTATTCCACCCACACAGACCCTACTAGTGAGACACCCCCATGGGGTAGT